AAAAGTAGTCATTGGAGTGATGTAAAAACCACCACAGAACTGCAGGAGGCCAAGAGGGGAGTACGAAGAAAACAACAGGGTGAGGGTGGACACACTGGCCTGAGGTGGCAAGAAGAGCTCACTCGAGCAGAGCAAAGTTACTGGTAAGGGGCGTTTTTCAACCACAGGGAGATCGACTGGGAAAACCTGGAGCCACATGGGGGTCCCGAAACATGGAGAGCCAAGATGATGGATGTGGTACTTGAAAATCTCATCATCAACATGTCAGGGACACAACCAGAGAGAGAGGGGAGGATGAGCCAGCAAGACTGGATCTTGTGTTCACCCTGAGCAGTTCAGACATTGAGGACATCACTTATGAGAGGCCCCTTAGAGCTAGCGATCATGTGGTTTGAGTTTTGACTATATAGTAGAGTTACAAATGGAGAAGGTAACAGGAAAATGAAGGGGGGCAGGCCAAACTATAAAGGGGGGACTACACAGGTATGAGAAAACTCCTGCAGGAGGTTCAGTGGGACAGAGAAATGGGAGGAAAATCAGTAAACGAGATGATGGAATATGTGGCAACAAAGTGCAAGGGGCAGAGGAAGTTTTGTTCCAAGGGAAACGGAAATAATAGGAAGACCAAAACGAGTCCTTGGTTTACCCGAAGGTGTAGGGAGGCAAAAACTAAGTGCAACAGAGAATGGAAAAGGTACAGGGGGCATGGACCCAGGAAAACAAGGAGATTAGTAGAAGAGCCAGAAACGAGTATGCACAGATAAGGAGGGAGGCCCAGCGACAGTATGAAAACGACATAGCATCGAAAGTCAAATCTGACCCGTAATGCTGTATAGCCACATTAGGAGGAAGACAACAGTCAAGGACCAGGTGATAAGGCTGAGGAAAGAAGGTGGAGAACTCACAAGAAACGATCAAGAGGTATGTGAGGAGCTCAACACGAGATTTAAGGAAGTATTTACAGTAGAGACAGGAAGGACTCTGGGGGGACAGACCAGATGGGGACACCAGCAAGGAAAACACCAACAAGTGTTGGACGACGTGCATACAGATGAGGGGAGGTGAAGAAAAATGCTAAGGGGCATCGATACCTCAAAGGCAATGGGACCAGACAACATCTCCCCGTGGGTCCTTAGAGAGGGAGCAGATATGTTGTTGCGTGCCCCCTTACCACAAACTTCAACACATCCCGGAAACTGGGCAACTACCTGAGGTATGGAAGACGGCAAATGTAGTTCCCATTTTTAAAAAAGGAGACAGAAAAGAGGCACTAAACTATAGACCTGTGTCATTGACGTGTATAGTATGCAAAATTATGGAGAAGATTATCGGAGGAGAGTGGTGGAGCACCTGGAACGGAACAGGAGTATAAACGCCAACCAGCACGGGTTCACGGAAGGCAAATCCTGTGTCACAAACCTTCTGGAGTTTTATGATAAAATAACAGAAGTAAGACAAAGAGAGAGGGGGGGGTTTGTTTTGATTTTTTGGATGCAAGAAGCCTTTACACAGTTCCCCAAAGAGATTAGTGCAGAACAGAATGGGGCGCATATAACGGGAAGGGCACTGCAATGATCAAGAATCCCGACGGGAGGCAACAACGAGTCATGGTGTAAGATGTATCCAGGGGGCCCCTGTGCGAGCGGGGTCCCACAGGGGTGGGTCCTGGGACCGTGCTTTTTTTGGGTATATGTAACACAAGGGAAGGGGTTTTAGACTCAGAAGTGCCCCTTTTGCAGATGAGTAATTAAATGAGGAAATTAAAAATTGATGAGGACCAGGCGGACTTCAAAGAGCCTGACGACTGGACACCGGTCAGCAATGGCTTCTCAATTAAATCTGCCAAATGAAAGTCAAAAGATGGGGGGGGACAGAAACCACAGACAGAGTATGGGCAGGGGGCCAAAAAAACTGAAAACCTCACTCAAGGAGAAAGATCTTGGGGGTGAGTATAACAGAGCATGTCTCCGGAACCCAACATCAACAATAACTGCGCAGCATAGGGCGCCGGAAACCCAGAACGCATTCCATCCTTTAAGGAACTTTCAGACACGTACACCGTGTATGTGGGCCCATATGGGAAAGCAGCACCTTTTGGAACCCGCACTTGAAAAGACTCAAGAAACTAGAGAAAGTCAAAGGTTTTCGACAAGGTTTGTTCCAGAGCTAAGGGAAGTTATGAAGAAAGATTAAGGGAAAACGGCCCGACCACCTGGGGGACAGGGGGGTCAGGGAAAAACATATAAGCATATAAAAACTGGTGGAATAGACAAGGTGGACAAAGACAGGGTTTCCCGGGAGGGGGGCACAAAACAAAAGGCCACAATTGGAAGTTAAGACACAAAAAGATCAGAAGATAGAGGAATATTTCTTCAGTCTGAGTTGAAGGCATGGGAAAAGCCTAGAAAATGACGTGTGGAGGCAGGAACCCTAAAAATTTAAGCGAGGTTGATAAAGTCATGGGGCGGGGGAGAAGGGGCCTGTAGAACCGGTGAAGGGCGGGGCCAGAGTAGGACCGACCCCCGCAACCCCAAAAAATAGTACAAATGGTGAGTACACCAAAAACGAAGGAATTGAAAGGTGGAAAAGAAGGATGTTCCCGAGAGGGGCACGCAACAAGGGGGCACAGTTGGAACTTAAGACCAGTGAACCGGGGTGTTAGGAAGTATTTCTTTTAGCCCCAGAGTATCGGAAGTGGAACAATTGGAAAGCGATGAATGGGGGGACCATACTAGCTTTCAGCAGGGATGATAAAGCACACGGGGCATGGAGGTACCCAGTACGAAACCCTGAAGAGGGGGGGGCCCGGAGCAGGAATCCCCCCTCAAACACAAGAGGCTAGTACAGATCTTTTTCGTTGTCGTCAGTTCTACTTCTTTAAATTTCGGTCTTTCCTTTTCATTTTTTTCCTTCCTTCTTAATACTTCACTTGTTCTCTTTTTCCGCCATCTTCTGGCTAATGGGTTTAAATTAGGTTAATAATTTTTGCAAAGGGGATGGGACACTGCTGTCATCTTATTGTACGTGTGAGAAGACAAGATCCTGGAAGATGGTATAACCGTACTTCCATCTACACTTACAAAAAACGCTTAATGGTTTACTGTCCA